ACCTATTGCAATAAAACGGCAATTTCATACTTTAACCCCTAATATTAGCATGGATTGACCGTTTATAAACTGATGCCATGTAACACATTACAGCTAAAAGGGCTGCAATAATTGAGCGTCTAGAGGGAAGCACAAAAAGTCGAACTGACACTGACAGAGGTAAGTTAAGAAATTAAATTAATACAATCTACAACCTTCGGGATTAATAAATACACATATCTACGGCCTTATTCAGAGTGACTGCGGGCGCGGGTGCATGTAAATCAAATATGTACGTAGACGCTCGTTGGGTTCACAGAGGCTGCGCGCGCCTGCCTCGAGGCGGACAACGGTAGATGTATTTACTCGATCCACCCATACCATTCTCAGTACGTCTAACGTCTGTTTGCAACTTCGACAGTTTTTGTCGCTTCGGCACTGTGAAAGGGAAGACGCCAAGACCTGCGCATCTGCGCCTGTCTTCTTAGTGCTCATTCAGAGTGCTGAATGAGCTCTAAGAAGACATGTTGACCCGAATTTAACTGTCTCCGTGGCTGAACAGTTACCGTGCTGGTTGCTGGCAATTAGGCTTAACTCACACTGGCGCAAAGACGAAGCGTTGCGACGCGTCATGTGGTTCGCCTACAGCATAATTCATCTCTATTTTCCCATTATTAAGGAACAATGTGTTATGCAAATATGGAATCGTGTGTCGACACTTGGTTAAAGCGTTGTAGTTGAAAAACAGGACGCGACGCGACGCTTCGACTTTGCGCCAGTGGGAGTTGAACCTTAGACCCGCCGCGGTCCCGACCCGAACCCGGACCCGCACCCGCCCTCTGTGTGTTTCACTTTGTTTGCTTTAATATGTGTGTGACACTAGAAGGAGAAATTGAATCTTCAATCCGACAACATGCCATTTGCCTTAATTTAATTTCGACATTATTAATACAAGTCACGTATTATATTTGTGTACGAATAAAATAATGACACATCTTTCAGTTCCTGTTTGTGGCCTTGTTAAAAACCAGGAAAATATTGTATATCTTGCAATATTTTCAAGCTATTATTGCGATTAATGTAACATAATAATGTATTATTGTTGTTAAATACTTTCTAAATTATGACAGATTTTTAATATTTTTTTCGTAATGCCGTAATATTATAATATTTTTAATGTAAAATCCATTTTTTTTTATTTTGAAGCTCGATATAGTACGACGCCGGGAGAGAAGACAAAACCCCGAAAAAAACGTCGAGGCGAGAGCGGTATCTATGAGAGTTTGGAAAATCTTCATGTGAAAGGTGATCATCTAGATTATTCCTTTTAGTTAAAATAGAACGTAAATTAATTATGCTTAAATAGAAACCAGAGAGATGTGTTATTATTAGTAAAATGTTCTCCACTACCACTTTGATATATTTTTTCTCTTTAAACAGCGTGCGGTTAGGTATAATGTGCTTGTCTGACAATGTAGTGTGTGTTGTATGCAGCAAATACCAACCGCCTGCTGTGCATAAAATTATGGTAAAGTTAAGATAAAAAATATAAACTAACCTATTAACCTTAACGGTGAGACCTCAAGAGTCGTTCCAATGAATTTATCTAATACGGAGAAATATATATGTAAGATATGAACGAGAAGTCTGTCACCATGAGACCTAAGGTGACAAAGACGGAAGGAAGTACACGTCATGCAATGTGTACTGGAATGGTATTCTCACTGCCGGTCAAGCAGACTCACAAGGCCGATCTACTGATGGCTAAAGGTGTCTTGGCCACAGTGAGAGGAGTAGCGGGTAGTACTAAGCAGGATGATGAGTTTGATGAGTTGAAATCAGATGGTAGTGGATAACTGAGTATATTTACAAATCTTATTACTATTTATACAATTTTTATGACTAATACATAATAACAGGTTTTTCTTAGTGTGCTATGCGTGTTGGTTGCCGACGAAGCGACTTATGTCACTATGTTGCACTTGTTGCTTGATGATGAGGCCATTTCTTGTGACAGTTTAAATGTATGTTACGACGCAAACGCAAGAGCGCAAGAGCGTTTTGTTGTTAAATATGTGATGTTCAAAGTTGAGCATTCTGCCATCTCTCAGGAACAGGACTCCAGCTGATATAATTCTATATATTTTTATTTTTGATCATCTTTGGATCTTGGAATGTCTGTTTCAACGGTAGGTTGTAAATCCCGTCATCTGTGGTAGTTGGTTGTCTTGTATTTTTGGCTTCGTGGCTTCAGTAGAATATCTTGTAGGTGGACGCGGGCGCGGAGGTTGCTCTTTTGTGGGCTCGCTCGAGTGTCTGGAACTGCAACGCACCACTGCTCGGTTGCATTTCACGATCTGGGAACCATAACAAAGTATGAGTAAAATTATAACTAAAATAATTAATTATGTTTATACATAACTAGTTTCGTGGAGATCGAGAATTGAGAGCTAATTTGTTTCCAAACCGTGTTATCTAATTGTGTGTGTAAGGATTGTTCTTGTGATATTATATGTTGGAACGTATCCTTTCAGGTCTCTATCATCTCTTCTTTAGATATATTAGTAATGTTCTTAGAAATAATATTTTGCGCAATGAAAAAGTTTACATATTTGGTATAAGAAGCTACAACTTGTACTGAAATTTTTTTTTAGCAGCAGAATACGGGTAGTACTAATGTATGTAAGTAGTATGTAAGGTAGTATGATGATTTTGATGAGTTAAAATCAGATGGTAGTGGATAACTGAGTATATTTACAACTCTTATTATTATTTATACAATTTTTATGACTAATACATAATGATAGGTTTTTCTTAGTGTGCTATGTGTGTTGGTTGCCGACGAAGCTCTTTTCTGTTAAGTAGTGAATTATGTTGTTGCCTGATAATGAGGCCATTTCTTGTGCAGGTTTTGTTGTTAAATACATGATGTTCCAAATTGAACACTCATAATAACGCTAATGTGTGCTCATTAACTTATTTATATATATTTTGTTGCAGTGAAAATGTTAAAAACCTACTATAAAGGTTTTTTCACTTGTCGCCATTGACTTTTATGCTTGTCGCATAAAGTTTTTATTTAATAAGTAACCATCTTTCTGGCATACTATCCAATTAATTGTAAAAGTTTACCATAATGGAAGTTAACTACAAACGCCTTCCTCATGATGGAAAATGGGGGACTAGATGTAGCTTGTATTCCACCCCTATGTTGTAGATATCCCAAGAATTCGCACTAAGCGTTTCGCTTCCATATTTATATGGCGAACGGCTATGGGGTTCCTTGCCTGCAGACTTGTTCCCTGAACGGTAGAAATTGGGCCTTTTCAAGGCGAGAGTGAATAGGCATTATTTAGGTGTGCATGCTCCAACGTCGACCTCATCCTCACTTTCCATCAGGTGTCACGGATTAATGGCTTGATTATGGGAGTGTGATGAGATATGGTAATGAACTTTAGAGTCGGCAGCTTAGCGGTGGCTACCGCTAGTTGCGCAATGTGCAACGGGAAGACGCGTGCCGTGCTTCGGTACCTAACTGGAAAATAGGGAGGGCACTGTACGTGCACCCGGGGCAGCTCACCCAAGACGCTAGCCTTTTGAGAACCGTATGAAATCTGTGCAAACGGGTTGAACTGGGTATCAGTACGTGACTGAGAAGATCCCTGTGTGGGCTTGCTTGCACATGTTATAGTGCTCTTCCCGTATAACCAAAAGGTTGATAGAGAGGGTCACTATAAACAAAACTTATGCAGAAAAGATATGGGACTGTTCATAACCCCAAAAGAACTCAAAGTAATATAAATTTTCAAAACAATAGTGTGGCGTAAGGAAACCGAACCACGCGGCTGTATTGTATTTAAGGCGCTATATATATGCATAGTAATATATAGTAATTATTTTTATGTAGTATGTACATAATAATTCTTTTGCCTGTGCTGTTCTCGCTAAAATGATATCAAAATACTCACGCATTCCCTCCGTCACTACGAGCGTAAGTCTTTGTTTGGCATGTATGGAGAATGCAAGATGGCAAAGTCTTGTCTCACTAAGTTAGGTTAGAAAGTGATCAGCAATACACAATTCGGTATCACAGCAGGGCATCCTTAACACCAAGTGATGTTAAGGTAAAAAAAACAGCTTCCGCGTTAGCATCCGCGTTAGTATCCTCTGAAGTGTAAATCACCTACAGCCCTTGTCAACAATGAAACCTAATGCAACGCAGCCAGTTTCGTTCCATTCTCTACGCGGAGCATTTCGATATCATTGTAGACTGAATACCACAAGCAGAATAGCGAACAAATAAAACTTTTCTTAGAAATTTTGGAAGACCAAGTCCATAATAAGTATTAAAGGGTAAATACATATCTCGGTAGTAGTAGTGGAGGTCCTTAGAAATAACTCGTCCAGGGAAGTACTATCATGTTCCCTATTTCTGCCGTTAAACTGTTCAATTTGTCTTTTCGATATATAATTTAAAAAATATATAATATATACGTTTAATTTTAATTTCCCTTCTTCTTTCTCTTAGCTAATCTGTCGAATAGCGAATGTACCGAATAACGAATCTGTCGAATCCAGAATTTCTCCTGCACCAAAACCGAACCCATCCGACCATTATTCCTATACATCATTATACCTTCCCGCCCTTCTTCTGGGGGAAAAAATGACATCAAAAACCATAAATTTCACAGATTCTCACCCTGGGCAGTTTCAACAAGGAAAAAAATTTCAAAACAATATAGCCGCCATTGATTTACAATTATACGGACGTCGGGTCCGCGCTAAAAAGTGTCCGAACTTATAGGGCGTCAAAATCGTATACAGAGCGTCATTTACGCTTTAGTCTTCGTTTGTTCGACTGACAGCGAAGCAAGCAAAATTAGACAGTACTGCGATGACATTACAATTTAAATTCAACGTTTTAGCTTTTTCATATTCCTTAACATGTCACTACGTTTAAATAGGTTGACTTGGGACATTTTTTTCGTGGTTTTTGTATTAGACCCGTCGTCCATTTGTTTATAAGTCAATGATAGCCGTGATACAAATTTCGGGGGCCTGTATCTCCGAAACTATTAGAGATAGGTAGATTATGTTCAAATTAGGGGTTAATGCATTCCGGTTTTGAAGAGTAAGAGTGCTGGTGAAATTATACGCACGTGAGATTTATTAACTTTAAGTCTCAGGGTGACGAGTGCAGTGGCACACACAGATCTTTGTGATAATGTAGATTAACTTGGTATGCATTCTGCTTATCTACATTTGAATCGTGCTAACATTGTAACGTATTTGCGTTGTGGAGCCATAAATGTATCTATCGAGTTATGATGTGTTCCTACATAAATGTATTTTTTTTACAATTGTTCTAGCTTCAAAACAGGCGACAATAAAAGAAGCCAGTCCTCCTGCGACACTCGGACGTAAAACGTACAAGGACATCAGCGAGAGACCTCCGTTTCCTCTGCCTACACAGAGCAATGATGATCACATTTACGAAGGTATGTTGTAATCTTTATTACGTTGCATTAACAAACCTAACATTAGGCAGAGTATTATTCAAGCGCATAATAAAATTGTTGCGATCGACAATGCGTATATCGTTCGTAACAACTCTTTACTGAACAATAAGTTTTAACAAAAGTCAAAAAAAGTCTTTTTATTCAAATGTAAGTGTGCGCTTGACCTCCATCTCACCTGATGGAAAATGACGATGAGGTCGACGATGGAGCATGCACACCTAAATATTGCCTATTCACTCTTGCCTTGAAAAGGTCCAAGTTATAACGTTCAGGGAACAAGTCTGCAGGCAGGGAATTCCACTACAAAGCCGTTCGCCATATAGCGTAACGCTTCGTGCGAATCTTTGGAATATCCACAACATAGGGGTGAAGTCCAAGCCTACGCCTAGTCCCCCGATTATGGAAAAGGGAAGGCGGAATTAAATCGTGTAATTCCATCGCACACTCTCCGTGATATATCCTGTAAAATACCGATGAGCAGGCAACTGTAAGTTTTGTCAGTCTATCCTTTGTCAGTCTATCCTTTCTTACTGCATAACGGCTTGGGGTTGCGCGTCAATGTCACACTTACTTCCATTGGAAAGGGCGCAACGACTAATATTAAGAATTTATTTTCACAAACCACATTTGCTTCCTACGGTCGAATTATATAAATTAGGTGAGGTGTAAACTGTTCGTCAGCTGTAGATTCTTTCGACAGTACTAAGAAGACATTCCGAAATTGTTTTTACACCGGATCACTCAAATGCACAAATACGACGTCATTACATGGTTTGTCCAGCTGTCAAGACAAGAACTTCATTTACGCGAAGATTTTTCAACCAGGGGAATCGACTGTATAATAAATTAAATAAAAGTATTTCCCTCTATGACAAGACTGCGAGAGAGAATAAGGTGGCAAAACTAAATGGTTATTATCAATTAATTATATTGAGACCATGTTGAGACTGAAGGTTTGCTTTGCGGTCTGGTATGATTAGACACACACACACACACACACACACACACACACACACACACACACACA